AATAACCTAAACAGGAATTGATTTACATTTACTACTATATTTTTCTAGAACTATACGCACTATATGTATCACTATACACACTATACGTATAGTACTGATCTGCCCATCTCTAGCAAGACAGCTAGTGTATTTAGGGTCATTATCCTGTTGAAGTCGCCAATGCCTCCCCATTAGTTCTCGAATCTCAGGAATATGGTTTTCTAGGATTTCAACATAAAATTCTGCGTTCATAATATTTGTGAAACAAAAGAGGCTTTATAGAAAAGCCTCCCCATGCAAATATTTTAGTACGATCTTTTGGAATCCATCGTACAGGTCGCTCACCCTTGTACCATCTTTCAACAGTATTCCTAAAGAGCTGGAATGCTGTCTCATCAGTAAATATTGTTTTATTCCAGTCATCTTCTAAGTGCTTTCGCGCCCATTCTACTCGTTGTTGTTTATGGGCTTTCAGTTAACATTGGGGTTGAGTGCGGTAACTTTTTATTGTAACCAAAACTCGCCAAGTGTGCTGCAATTGTTGTATGTGAGGTCTCTACACCTTTTACAGCCAATTTTGTCTCTATAAAATAGTGGAGTCTCGGCATATATTCTGACCGATGTACCGTGAAATACTAGGGGTGATTTTTTTAGTACGACCGCCCCTTTCTTATGATCCAAATTACCAATTTCTTCCAACTTTTCCAAGTTGTTATAGATAGTTCGCATTGGAATCCGTGTTGTTTTGTGGATTTCTTTAGCAGTACGAATTCCTATGTTCCAAAAATGTAATATGGTTTCTTATTGTGTTTTCGGTTTGGATTTAATCATTTTAATAAAAAAATTTTCGATATGTGGTTTTTAAAAAACTTTATACACAGACAGACTCGATAAGTCAGCCGCATAATTTATACTATTGAGTACTTTAAACAATTGATTACTGCGGGCTGACTTATCGAGTCTGTCTGTGTATTAGTAATAAAAATTAAGAGATATTTTTGACGTTTAAAATAAAAAAAGATTATCTGATTTGGCCTGATTTTGGTAAAGTTATATGAATTCAAGTTTTTTTTGCAATTTTTTTGCCAATAATTTCTTTACACACTGTACATTTATATAAAATAAAAGGCACATACATATCAATACAAATAAAAAAAAAAATACCTACAACTGCTTCAGAGCCAAACCATGCCAAGAACATCACTCATGTTTTATCATTGAACAATAGAATTGTTTTTCCAAGGAAGAAAAAAAAATCAATTCGAGTCTGTCCCAAAAACAAATCTTTGTGCAACACAGTCCAATAATTATTATTATCAATATTGATTACGTGTTTTTTTTTAAAAAAAATTAATAAGAACGATGTCTGCTGCAGTAAGTAAAAAAAGAAGAAAAAAACAAGGCGCAAAATGAGCAAGTGTTTATCATAAGGATGGTAGCTATTGCCACTTGTCGTCACTTTAGGACTTGGAGTAGAGGAAACATATTTAAGCAATGAAGCAATACATGTAATATCTGATCTTTAATTTTATTTGATGAGTTAATTTTGAAAAAATTTTGATCTGAAGGTTTTTCTTTGTAAATATAGTGGATTGTTGGAACGAACTTGAATTAATGGAATTTCGTAATTCATGTATTGCAGACAGATTTCAATTAAAAGAAACTGATATCTCAGAGATTTTGTAAGTACAAGTCTTCTGTATTTCTGATATTTACTTACTCTTTTGTCTATGATAATTGCAGAGCTTTGAACTACATTTTTTTATTTGAAGAAAATAGACCAATTGGAATTCGTGTATATTTTGGTAAAATTACATGGGAAGGTATTTTTAACAATAAGGATACCGGCTGCAACTTTTGACGATGGTTGCTACCATCTTTGCGTCATATAAAAATGATTGCAACCACCTTTACAACCATTTTTTTCCTTTTTTGGATTGCGATATGGAACACTATTTAACAATATCAGGAGTGAAATTGAATATTTTGAGCTTTCAGAGGATAATGTTGTGAGGTGTCATAAAATATTTAAGGCAAGGTCTTTTTAAAAAAATCTTGTCAAATATATGATATAATAGTCTTTACTCTCTTTGATTTGACTAAAATCCTTCAAATGTTTGTTTAATCAGATTGCCAATAAAAATTTCAATGAAGTCATGCCGTGTATTAGAGAATGGCAAAAATTGACTAAAGATAATGAACGTGATTTGGTTTTAGAATTCTTTAAGTCAATGTAAGTATTTACAAGCATATTATATTATTGCTCATTTGGATTAATTTTGTTTTACTATTTTATCATGTTGTAGTCATAAAATAGTCTTTCATCAAACATTGATAAAAACATAAAGGAAGATGCCTTTGTTCACAAGACATTGGATTCGTATTAAAAATTTTTTACCAAGATACTACAAACACAAAACTCAAATGGTAATTATTTTTTTGTGTAATAGCTTTTGATATGTGTTTCAATGACAATTATTGATCTTGTCAATTATCATTTCAGGCCAACTGACGTTTTATAAGCATCTGCTCTAAAGACTAGTGCTGTAAATTATGATGATGGTAGTAATTGTATTTACGGCATATAAAAAGTGGTTGCAATTACCTTTGCAACCACTTTTGCAACCATACTTTTTCCTTTTTTGGATTACGGCACTAGTCTTTAATCTGCTCGTAGGAAAAAGAAGTTTGACCCATCACTAAAAGGCAGAATACCAGATTTTTCTGTTGGCTATTCTTACAAAAATAGAAAAGTTGATTTATTAGTTATGGAAGTCAAACCGCCAAGCAAGGATTCCTCTGATTTAGTTAAATTGGGAAATGAACTAAAAGATATTATTGATAAATCTGCTGAAGATGGAATTTGTTATAATGATCTATGTGTATGTGGATTGTTAGTGGAAGGTAAGAATTATGACTTGAATGAACAGGATTATGGATATAATTTAATCTATGCTTTTTTTAATAATAGGTTACCAATGTTCTTTCTATATAATGGATTTGAAATACGAGGCAGTTTATCGTATGAAACATGTCGGGAAATTTTTTTTGCTCACAATTATTATAATCTTGATACAGCTCCTACAACAATTGAGCTTATGATGCAAACAAAGGTTGGTAAAAAAATTTTTTAGAATCTCACCTTCAGATATCCTAATCTTTAATGTTTTATGATAGCTTATTTTTACACAATCAGCTAAGATAATACATAAGAAGTTGTCAGATAAGGATGAAGACTCTTTTATTTTAAGAATGAATATGACGAGACAATCATTCCACACACCAATGAAAATACCAAACAATGTTCAAGGAATAAATCTTCAAAGGGTCCTAAAATATAATACTACTAATAATGATTAGTAAATTAAATTTTAACTAAAATTATTTTTAAAATTGGCTTAGTTTATAATAATCTAATATAGAAACATTCTAATACCATTAATTGACATTATTATTATTAATAGTTTTTTAATTTGACCCAATTCATTTAATATTTATTGTATTTAAAATTATCTTGATGTTTATTTTTAAAAAATAATCATTTTTTATTTTATTTTAATATTTTAGTGCTTCGCTCATAATAGTAGGGGCAAAAATATTTTCACAATTTAATAATTTAATAATTCTTTTTAAACAGTGGCATATAATTCTGAGGTTTTGATTATTTGCTTTAGTAAGAAAGTAAAGGCTTGGTAATATTGATTAACCAGTGTAGTTAACAACGGGTAGTAAGGTTTTCGCTTAGTAAAGAAGCAAAAGGTTCAAGTTTTTGTTAAACATTTTTGTTGTGTTTAAATGTAAACGTAAGGTGTTAAGACTGATCGCAAAAGTATAGTGTTGTCGTGCTGACAAAAAATCTTTGTGTTAAAGCCGTTAAAAGAAAAGTAGTGGTTAGTTTTTAAACGGTCGAATAAAAGTAAAAGTAAATAAAAAAAGGAACTTTAGAAGAGCCTTTGTCGCTTTCTAAAAAGGTCGTATTTATTTATTCATTATAAATCGTATCATAAAGTGTGCTTCAATAAAACGTAAAACAATCGAAATCAACCAAAGCTACCTCGCAATACTAGTCCTATTTAATCCCTGAAATCTTTATTAATCATTTTGTCTGTTTTGTTGCAAACGATAAAACAAATAAATAGTAATAGAATTAAACCAAACAATCAAGTATTGCTCGGTGTGAAAATTTATGTTGACTAGCAAAAATTATTAATGTATAATACTTAATATATACAATATATATATAACATACATATATATATATATATATATATATATATATATATATACAAAAATATATTAATATAAATGATGTAATAATATGGTAAAATGTTCCCTTGATTTGAAGTTTTTTCATTTTCTCCTTAAAAATATTAAAAAATAAACAAACATGTATAGCAAATGTATATCACTGTTAAAAATACCAATAAATAAATTGATTTTTTTTTTTTTCTTTATTTTTCTTTAAAATACGCGAAAATTTTTGTTTTTTAATAGTTAAGGATCATAAAATATGACTGAAATCCAAACAAATCATAATATAAAAGAAAATTATGAGCTTTTTGCTAATAATTTTTGGGTATGTTGATAATGTTGATAATGACGATGATAATCCCCAAGTATTTTTATTGATTTATTTATTTATTTAGGGTAAAGACGAAGTAGGCTATGAGACTATTATGTTACGTTTAAGACAAGCTAAACAAACATGTGAAGATGTTAAACACATGTTTCATGAAAGGTTTATTCAATAAATATTAATATATATACATATACATAAACAAAACTTTTACTAATAATCTTTTATTGGATAAAGATCGTTGATCGAAGAGGATTATGCTAAAAGATTAATGAAACTTTCTAAAAGTTCATTTGGAAAAGATGAGACTGGGTACATAATACTTTTTATCATTTCATGTCATATTTCATGTCAGAAAATAACATAATATATATATATATATATATTTAGAAATCTTCGGGATGCATTAGAAACCACAAAGCAGGAAATTGAAATAACTGCAAGAGAGCATTTAAGTCTTTCTCAAAAAATTAAAAGTAAACTTGAGCAAGAATTGAATGATTTTCTTTTAAAACAAAAAGAACAAAGAAAATCACAACAATCAATAGCAGAAAGAAGTCTACGTAATAAACTCAATCAAGCAGTTTTACTACAAAAGGTCGTCTATTATTAATATTATTCTATCATTTAAAGAAATTATTATGTAACATGTATGTATGTACATTATAAATATAAATATTTATATATTTATCATTCCATCTCAAAAAAAAAAAGGCAAAAGAAAAATATGATGGAGAATGTGTAAAAGTGACAGGTCTATTGGCATCCAAAAATTCGGTAATTGGAAAAGAATCTGAAAAATTATCTTTGAAAATCGAAAGAACTCAAATCAATGTCAATACTGCAAGTCAAGAATATAGGCAATTAGTTAAAATTATGAATGATATTAACGATAAATGGATTTATGATTGGAAAATTGCTTGTGATGTATGTAAATATTTATTTATTTTGAATGATAATAATTTTTTGAACTAATTTATAAACAATTGTTAAATATTATAAATTTGTTGTAGAAATTTCAAACTTTGGAAGAAGAAAGAATAGAACATATAAAAAAATATTTATGGGTTTATGCAAATTTTATTTCAGAAGTCTGTGTTGTAGATGATCAGGTATTATTATCTTTATCTTACAACAACAACAATAATAATAATAATCGCTTATAATATTATTTATAATAATAATAATTACTATTAAAAAATAAGTCTTGTGAAAGGATAAGAGTTGCATTAGAATCTTGTGAAGTTAATAATGAAATACAACTGTTTATAAAAGAACATGCTACCGGCTCCGATCTCCCAGGTAATCATTATTATTATTATCATCATCATCATCATCATCATTCTGTTTTTATTATTATTGTTGTTCTTTATTAACACATATTTATATATATAGAATCACCAGCTTTTATAAATTTTTTCTCGGGTAATAAAGAAAATGACACGATAACAAGTAAAAGAGCTTCATTTGGTAGAATAACCGATTTACGTAATGAATCGTCGTCATCATCATCAAAGAATCATTATATACAACAACTTCAACAAAAATTTTATCCAACTGAAGACACTAACAACATTTCTATTGATGATGATGATGATTATAATAAATTAAATGATGACAGAGCTTCTTTATACGCAAATACAATTTCTTCTTCAAACCTAATCAAAAACAAAAATGAATTTTCGCAAACTCCAGTTGATGATGATAAAATTGAAGAAGAGGAGGAGGAACCAATTGATCCAAGATCAAAAAAAATGCTTTCAATTGGTAATAATGTTTTTGAAGTCGATCCAAATTGCAGTCTTGATGATAACAAGAAGTCATTAGAAAATGATCCAATTGTGCATGCTTTAAATAATTTGAAAATTACTGATGCCACTTCTGATAAATATCATGATGATGATGATGAACAACAATCAGTCATAACTAACCTAACCAATAATAACAATAATAATAATAATAATAATAATAGCAACAACAACAACAACAATGATAATGATAATACAAAATTTGACTCTAAATCATTTAGTCAAAATCCTTTATCAATTAATCGATCTTATGGGACAAGAAAACCAATGCCTGTTTTAGATAAACCTCAACCACCAACACCAGCTACCAATAATATTATTAATCAAAATCAAAATCATAATTCTGGGTATATTGATCATCGCCATAAACTACCTGAAATTCCTACTAATGCCAATACCAATAATATTAATAACAACAATATTAATAACAGTTATAATAATAACAATAACAACAGTTATAACAGTTATAGTGATAATAATAATTCCAATATAAGTTCTTTGGAACAAAAAATAGCCCCTAATCAATATAACACTAATACCAACTCTAACAACAGCACTTATAATACCACTACCATCACTACTAATGCGACGAAAAATACTATCTACTCGCATCCATCTTTATCTTCATCTCCATCGCCATTCTCTTCTTCACCAAATCTTGTTTATCAACAACAACCACCACCGCCATCACAACAATCGTCAAATTCACCTTACCTAAATCCAATTCAAAATTCATCAGCAACAAAAATTATTCCACCATCATCATCTACTAGCAATCTAATTTCTGGTCCAGGTGATTTAAGACGTAAATCCTTATCTTCTACAGATTATGGTCCTATTTCATCACAACAACAAGATATTAAAGATAACATGTCTAATATGCGTCCACATGCTCCACTATTAAATAATCAACCTAGTAACAACATAATACAAGGTCCAGGTGATTTAAGACGTAAATCCTTATCTTCTACAGATTATGGTCCTATTTCATCACAACAACAAGAAATCAAAGAAAACATGTCTAATATGCGTCCACATGATCCATTATTAAATAATCAACCTAGCAACAACATAATACAAGGTCCAGGCGATTTAAGGCGTAAATCCTTATCTTCTACAGATTATGGCCCTGTTTCATCACAACAACAAGAAATTAAAGAAAACATGTCTAATATGCGTTCGCATACTCCACTACTAAATAACCAACCTAACAACAACATAATACAAGCTCCAGGTGATTTACGTAAAAGATTGTCAATTTCAACTTCAGCTTCAACTTCAATTACTGCTATTGCCGCCAATAATAATATTAATCAACAACAACAAGATAATTTAGTTACAAATCGTCGTAGTTCTTCGCCTAATAATCAACAACAACGAAATACATCACCAGTTATTGGAAACAATAATAACAACAATAACAATAAAATTGAAAGATCTGATACAATAAAAACTTCTACTACTAGTAGTAGTGGTTCAAACTCATTAGGAATATTACTTGATGCTCAAGGCCGTGTTAAGCAAGATGATCTTGCTGAAGCATATTTTAAAAATGGTGGAAAATTACCACCCGAGTCTGCTAAATTTCAACAATTGCCACCGCAACCGCGACCACCTCCAGCTGCACAAAATAAACAATTCTATAATAATAGTTATAGTAATAAAAGTAATAATAATATTAATTCATCAAATCAACCTATATTAGAATCTAATAATAGAAACATTCCATCAAGTCAATCACCCTCGTCATCATCACCGCCATCCCATATTCCAGGAATTTTACCCAACAATCATAGCAACTACAAAAACATACAATCCCAATCGTCCATTCGTGAAATGCAAAGAAGTAATACTATAAAAACAACATCATCACGATTATCTTCATATCAACAATTCAATTATTATAATAATACATCTACAGTTCCTCCTCGTCCTCAAAATAATGCTTATCAGCAACAACCTCCTTACCAACAACAGCCATCTTACCACAAACCTTATCAAAATATTAATCAATCTTTACCAAGGTCTCAACCTCAACTACAATCTTATAATTCACTTGCACTTCAACAACAAAATATGAATGCTTCTAAACAAAATATTCAAAGTCGACCACCGCCACCGCCACAACAACAACAACAAAAACAACAACAACAACAACAACAACAACAACAACAACAACAACAACCACCACCACAGAAACCAAAGGCGCGATATATGGAAGATGGTAGATTGATTCAATTCTACGGTAAACATTAAAATATTATAAATATAATATTAATACAATCGATGGAATTAATACCAATCATCTATTTATATTTATTTATTTAATAATTTGATTAAATATTTAGTTGAAACTTTATATGAATATGAAGCAACAATTCCAGAAGAAATTTCATTTAATGCTGGTGATATAATCGCTGTTCTGGGGACTTGTCCTGATGGTTGGTGGGAAGGTGAATTATTATTAGATGGTAATGATAACACAGAAAAAAGAAAGAAAAAAAGAGGTATATTTCCTAGTAATTTCACAAAAGTATATGAAAGATGATGATGATGATGATGATGATGATGATATACATTTATTTATTTATTTAATTTCGTATTAATTCATTAAATATATACATTTTATTGTAATTTAATAATAATTATTAAAATAATTCATGGTACAACTTGAATACCCATTCCTTTAGCTGTTGCTATAATTGATTTACAAATACTTTGTAAACTTGAACGTTTTAAATTTTCTTGATTATGTTTTATCAATGCTATTTCATAAAGTTCTTTCAAACTTATTTTACCAACCCATTCATGACCTGCTTTACTAGCCCCTTTTTCAATTTTAGCAGCACGTTTCAATAGCCAAGTAACAGGTGGTAAGTTTGTCTCGAAAGTAAAAGTTCGATCGGGATTAATTTTTATACGAGTAGGAATGAGAGTTCCCACTTCGAACTTTTTCGTACGCTCGTTAAACAATTTACAAAATTCCATTACTTTTATACCACGCTGACCTAATGTAGCACTAAGTGGTGGTTGTGGTGTTGCTTTTCCAGCTGGTATTAAACATTTTACTTGAGCAAGTTTTCTTTGAGCTGCTGCTGCTGCTTTAGACATTTTTTTTTTTTTTTGCTATAACAAATGACGATAATCAAAAAAAAAAATTTAATTTTATAAACAAAATAAATCATGTGATTTCCATCTCTTTATATAAAAAAAAAAGTAAACTAAAAAAAAAAAAAATCATATTTAATAAATATCAATTGAAAAAAAATGGACTTTCAAATGTACAATGATGCTGAAAGAGCTCATATTCAAAAATCAATTGAGCAAAAACAGGTAAAAAAAAAAAAGGAAATGTATTTAATTTTAATTTTTAAATCCTTCCTTACTTATTATTTATTTATTACTATTACTATAATATAAAAAAAGGTTCGAGATTTGATGAAATTTTATACGAATTTGGTAGAAAGATGTTTTAACGATTGTATTAATGATTTCACATCAAAAGCATTAAATACAAAAGAAGTATGTGTGTGTGTATATATATATTACTAGTATACACCACTTCACTATTAAAAATCAAAAATTAAAAAATATCTTTCTTTTTTTAATTTAATCTAAGGTTACATGTGTGAATAGGTGTGCAGAAAAATTTTTAAAACATAATGATAGAGTTGGACAACGATGGGCAGAATTAAATCAACAAATGGTACAACAACAAATGGAACAATCTTCTCAACAAAGTAATAGTGGTGTTGGTGGTGCTGGTGTTGGTAGTGTTGGTGGAGTTAGCAGCGGTGGTGGTGGTTGGTTTGGTAGATAATCAATCAAGTAAATAATTTAAAAAAAATAGAAGTTTTTTTAAATTCATATTTTTATTAGTTGAAAAAAAAATTTTTTTTGAATTAAAATAATTAAAATAAAAAATGATTAAATCAAAAAAAAAATAAAAAAAAAAATAATGGATGATTAAATATAAATAAATAAATAAATATATATGTAATTTTAATCATTGTCATTTTGCTTGTATATATTGTTTCTGACAATTAATAATAAATTTATTTACAAAAATATATTTCTAATAAATTATTTATTTATCAATTAATCCACACCAATCTACCCATTAAACCCATCCATATATATTTAATTCAATTATCCATTCACACATTTTGTCAAATCTATCAATCTATGTGTTTATTATTATTTTATAGTTTGGCACCATAAAATTGCGCAACCTTTAAAGATTGTCTAACACCAAGATCAAGCATAATTTCTTCTGAACCACCTGGAATAGCATAGGCACGTACTTCACGATAAAGGCGTTCAACCTTTTCAGCTTGACTGTTTCAAAAGAATAAAAAAATAGTTAATATCCAAAATATATAGTATACATGTAGTTTCTTTAAAGGATTTTTTTATTTACCCTCCACGAGTATATGCTAAACCACCAAAAATTTGAGCAGCCTCACGAGCACAATATTCAAATGTTTGTGTAGATTGAGCCTTTAATAAAGCAATTGGACCTCCAAGTCTCGTCATTGCTTCATTACCGGACATATGATTTGTTTGATAAATTAAAGTTTCCATCCAAGCATGTGTTGCTTCAATTTTTCTTGCCATGTGTGCAAGTTTATTACGAATCACAGCATGATCAACAAGTTTTTGTCCAAAAGTTTTACGTTTGTGTGCATATTTCATTGCTTCTTCATAACAAACACGTGCAAATCTTGTGGCTTGTATAGCAATACCCATACGTTCATGATTAAAATTGTGCATAATACACTATGTAAAAATAAAAAGAAATTATATTTAATTATTTAATTGAATTTTTTCTCAAAAAAAAAAAAAAAAAAAAAGAAATTTTTTTATTTATGAATTACCTTGAATCCGCCATTTTCTTTACCAACAAGGTTACGTTTTGGAACTTTTACATCATCAAATGTGATATATGCTGTACCAGATGACCATACACCTGAACATAACATTTGACGAGTATTAACACCTGGCATTGTTCTTTCTATTAAAAGAAGAGAAATTCCACCCATGCCAGGACCTCCAGTACGGACTGCAGTAGTGAAATAATCAGCAAATGTACCATTGGTTATCCATTTCTTTTCACCGTTTACAATATAATGTTGACCATCATCAGATAATTTGGCTTCAGTTTTAATATTTGCTACATCGGATCCAGCGTATGGTTCTGTAATAGCAAGACAGATGTTTTTATGACCAGAAAGACATTCAGGTACAACTCTTTTCTTGAGTTCTTCACTACCAAATTTAAGAATTGGTGGAAGTCCAATACCCAAACCTTTTTTTTTTTTTTTTTTTTGAAAAAAAATATATAAAAATAATTTTATTATCATCATAAATGGTTTGTGATTTTTTTTTAAAAAAATTCCCTTAATTAATAACTGAAAACATACCACCAGTCAAACCCCAAAGAATACCACCCGAACCACAACGAGCCAATTCATCAGAAAGAACAAATTC